TCACGTTACATAAAATATACTGATTTTGTCATAGTCATAAACTAAATTGTTTTGGGGAAGATGGCTGTCTTGTGGGTTGTTGCAACATGTCTGGAAGAAGTTTCAGAGGTGCTTGCTGCCTCTGTGTGTGGTTTACTCTTTGCCCTGGTGATGAAGGCAGCAGGCACCTCTGAAATATCAGTAAACTTCCACTGGGCTATATTGTGCAATTATCTTTATACTAGCCACCATAAGAACCTGAAATCTCACTAAATTGTTTCAGCTTTAGAAGAGCATTCCTGTAATTCAGTGTTGTGGCTAAATCCAAATTCTTGTGGCAGTCAAGAAGCTGAAGGTTCTTACGTAGGTTGACAAACGATGTAAAACATCTTGTTTTAAAAAAAAATGTGAAATACACCTGAGTTAACTGCAATTAGTACCACCTACAAAATACAGAAATACAGTATTTAAACAGATTCACAACTGATAATATGTGAAAAATATTTATTCATAATAAAAGGGTGTTAAGGACTTAACCTTTTTTATGGAATTGCTATGTTGTACTGGATCACAAACCTGTATTCACTTTCTGGATTATTATTTTGAACTTATTTTACGCTATTTGCTCAAGTTATTTGGGTTAGTTTAGTTTTGGAACATAAAAAAAATACTGAATTGTTCTGATTTTCAGTGTAGCTTATGTTCATTTCAGTATTTTTAACTTAAATTCTGAAACGCTCCTGTGCGAGCTGACATTCCCAGCCTTAGTGCTTGAAAGAATTTGTGTTTTCGGTCTTTCTCATGACAGCTATTGGAAAGATATCTCATTGTTTAATGGATTAATAGATTATACAGCGTGTGGGAGCAACGTTCTTTCCACATATTGGCTCCAGTTGATGATCTTGTGATCTTAACATGAGATGACGTGAAATAATTTTTGTGAGTGTCTGTAGTAAAGCGTTAGTGTATGTAGTCAAGTCTGTGTTCATATAATGTCTGAATAAGCTTCGAAAAAGGTGAAACTGGGGATGTATAATTACATTAATAAGGAAGTTGTTTGTTGGTTGATAAAGAACTTGTTCAGTAATGTAGCAGGAAACGAGTAGTTTAATTTTATTTTTCAGTGATTCTGTGTATCATTAATTACATTAAGGTTCAGCACGTCTGTTGAACTGTGAGCAATTCCTATGATAAGGGCACAATCTTGTATAAAAAGTTTAAGTTTTCATCTGCTGTGCATATATCTGTAACCACTGATCAATACGGTTGTTTTTTTGCCTTTCATAAAAGCCGTTCACCATCGTCACCTTTAACAAGTGTGTGGAGTGAACAAAAATTTCATTAGTGTTTTTATTCTGACAAATCTTGTCAGACGTAGTTAATGTTGAAGTTGTAGATTCAGACTGCTACGTATGGATCGTAAATTTATTATGCTTGTAGCTCCAAAGAATATGCTTCGTGATCAGTATTGTTTTAGATAAAATATTTTTTATTTCTTTATTAACTGAGGGTAAAGTGATTGGTTTGCTGGTAAAGTAAGATATTGAAAATAATTACCAACAGACCTGTTGATGCATCACATGTAAATTTGACACATGGCAACAGCTTTTTGTATTAGGATTTTTTTGTGGTACTTTGAGGTATTATGTGCATTTATAGATATAAGTCCTAATGCATATGGTCTTTTTTAAATATTTATCATTTAACAATTGTCTTTTTCATTAAAATATAATCTTATCCATATGTCAGTTAAGGTTATGTCAGTTAAGGTTAGGTTATAATCATTTGTAGCAAGTGTTGTGACATCTGTAGCAACTTCTATGTAACATTAATAAGTTACCATATTGTGAATGTAACATTTTTAATATTATAAAAGACACTAAATGTGCTTCCATCCATCCAAAAAATAAATATAACCAAAGTTATTATTGTTAATATAGAAAATAAAACATAGTTTTTGGAAGCATTTTTTAGCACATGTTAAGCTGAACAGATTTTAATATTTCTTTGTCTGTATACCATTTTTAAGGAATCGATTTTTGGATGAATATTTTATAATGTGTTCATGTCACTTTTCCCTTGTTCCTCTGTTTTTAGGTTTGAAGCATACGAAGGTAATGCATGTTTACTTATATTATATGTGCATGAAGTTGTTAGCATTAATAATCAGGCGTTAAAGATATAAAATTAAGTAACGTACGTTGTCAGAGCTCCGTAGGAAGGAGCCAAGTTAAAGTGGGTGGAAAAGAGGACGGGATGTGAATTTTCCTGATTACATAAATATAAGTAGTGTCTTATAGGTCATTACCCTATGTAGCATTTTGGGCATGTGTACAAAGCCAAACTGTCAAACCTAATTTAATGCTATGTGTTTTAAAGTACAAATGTTTTAGTCGTGCAGAAGGTAGGGGTACCAAAAAGAAAATAAAAAATATCAAAACTTATGTTGGCTCTAAAAGGTGAGAAATAAACTTTGATTTTTATTACGGAGGGAAGACAGGAAACAAGATAAAATAACAACCTTAAACATGTAGAATTTTATTTCAATGTCTAGTTAATGCGTTGCATAAGGAATGTTATTTTAAAATGTCACCCAGTGGAATTGTAGTAGCTGCAGGAATCTTGCATTGTGTTCTGTAAAGTTAACACTATTTTTATGTTACAAGAAGCCCAAAAATTATCTACTAGTGGCACTTTCATAATTTCAGAATTAAATTATTTTAATTCTTTCTGATTGTAATAATAAAGACCAATTCAAAATTAAATATATTACAAATGATGTATCTCCTCATTTTCTTCAGATTTTATTGTTTTCAATGGCATGTTCAATCTAAAACCTTTCCTACAATAACTCATTACACTTAGCATATTTATAGACCAGGTGTTTGTAATTAAACAATTACACCAAATATTGCTACTCAGTGGTTATCACCCCAGTTTCTTATTCTGGAGGAAATACGTTCAAATCTCAGCCAGGAGAGCGGCCGTTCTGCTTGAATTTTTTTCTTTTGTGGTTTATAAGCGCATGTTGCAGAGAATGCAGTAGGAATACACAAAAAACCGTACTGAGCCCGATAGTGGTAGCACATGAGTGCTGTATTTGGGAGGTATCCGATGCTAATGCCGCCGGGTTACCAAATTTCCTTACAGGTTTTCCTCGATTTCTTCTTGAGAGTGCTAGAAGGGTATTTTTTTTTTAAAAAAACGTCAATCCTATCCTGCTCACCATTCACGATTAACTTCCATCTCATTTCACCATACTACCTTAGTATCTCTTTCGAAACTTCGTCCTGCGTATCTTGTTTTTGTAAGTCTAGAAATTCTTATATTTTGTAGTTTTTCATTCCCGAAAAGCAGTCCATAGGGCACGTTCTGAAATTCGAAGGACTTAGAGTTGTCACCACTGGTATAAGTCAAGGTGTTTGATACGTGACTTTCTCATGAATTGTATGTTCCTAGGCATTACTCTATTCAGTCTTATGTGTTTTTGAACTCTCTCCCGTGTAGGGTACACAGAATGTAAATTCTGACCACTTTCTCTTCTCTGCGCCCGCAACTTTAGTTCTAATGTATCTTGTACGCGCTGCACATCATAAGCTCTGTCGTGTCCATTCAGCTGTATCCGGTAAGCAAGGTCGCAGGTGTGCTGAAGGAAGTTACATGGACGCTGAACAAATCGTAGTTTGTGTGTGAAGTACTCTGTTGTGTTTTGGAAGGCGTAAAGATTCTTTAATCTTATTTTCCGAAGACAGTGCAGTTTCTAAGCTTTGTGTCGTATATTGTACACCGCCTGGTTACTTTATAAAAGTAACTACTGAAACAAGGAAATTACTTGTGACAGTATCATTCCGAATATGCGGAAGATTGTGACGTCACACATGTTTCATTACTGTCATCGATACTGTTGCTGTGTGATACACGAACCAGATACCAGTAAGTGTGGAGCAACGGAACGTTTCATTGGATGAGGTGGATAAACAGACCCCCTTCTGAAGACTTCGCCAGACAGCTACGACTCAGGTTATTGGCGAGTACAGAAATATTTATCTTTCTTTTCAATGTGTGCATTTATCACGTGCAGTGTAAATTGTAAGTGTATTTCTCCCTGGCTCTACAGATACGAAAAGTATGTCATAATTTCCTTGATGTATGCACCAAGGGTTCTCAACCTTTTCCTGATTTGAGACTACATTGTCTTTCCTTATAGACTCACGGGCCGCAAGGTTGTAGGTAAATAAGATCAATTTAATGGAACGAAGATGGATGTCTTTGGTTCTAAGGTCCTTGCTGCCACCATCATCACAGTGTTTAGGGTTAGGCCTGTATCTTAGTTGTATTCATTAAAAGTTGTTTGTATACCACATTGTCCTTAGAAAAGTAATAATTTTATTCATTCTACACCGTATTTAAACCAGTTGTGTGTTTTGAAGTATTTCGTCATCGGATTTTCCCCGAGCTGTCAATCGCAGGAGCTAGAAGTAGGCATACTGCACAGCGCAGGAAGACAAAAGTTAATTCTTATACTCGGTATGACTTCCTTGGATGAATATTTCGACAGACAGGCTTTGTCGTCTTTGATCGAAACAGATGTTAATCAGCTACTACTAATTAATTTTAAGACCCTATTTTAATAATACTATAATTTGGAACATATTTAATCATTGAAAATAGTTAATCAGATTCGTATTTATTAGTTTTGAAGAATTTTGCGCCGAGACAATAATAAATATTGTTATTCTTATATCAATTAAGTATTTAAGATCATTTATTCCTGTGTTTTCTCTCAGTAGGTAATTCTGTTTAATGCGATTGTCGAACTTGAAGGTAATGAACGATAATAATGTATTGCAGCATTATCTTTACAAAGCGTATTGAAGGTAGACTACAAAATTCTATAACACATGTGAACATGTCTTGACGGCGACTAAAGCCACATTCCTGCCAAGCAAAACCGACTCCAGCCTTACCGTACGCGACACCTTGGCCTTGTATGCGTTTCTTCCCACCAGAGTCGCCAGCGTCAGAACGTAATTTCAAATTTTTCGGGCCGTAGGCTGAGCGAACGTGAACCGTGTTTTTGGACGACAGTAGAATCGTCACAATTCGACAATGGGGAAAAAGTAACGACATGGATGTGATTAAGTCGACTGAATGTATCGAGTAGGTACCTTCGTCCACAACAGTTGTTCTGTTAAGCACAGGGCCAACGCTGTGATTGGTCATAAGTAAGGAGCTAACTGGTTAGTCCGTGAATCAACAATATGTCCGACTGTTATGGAACCCGAAATTTAATTACAATATACACAGCCCGCAACTGGTCTCTATTCTGAGTCAGATTCATATTGTCACACCCTGGTTCTGTAATGTCCTTTTTAATATTATCCTACTGTCTAATCCTAAGTGTTCCAAGTTGTCTCTTCCCTTCAGCTTTATCGGTTACCATTTGTTTGTATTTCTCATCTCCCCCGCTCTAGAGGCAAAGAGTACAAATTATTAAGCTTTTTCCCTTTCTATAATTTCCTCTGTTTTAGGTCCAACTATTCTCTGCAGTTTGTTCACAAACAATTTACTTTCTTCCCTCAAGGCGAGAGACGAAGTTTCACACCTTTATTAAACGAGAATCAAAGTTATAGTTCTGCATATTTTAGTCTTAGGTCTCTAAACATATTAAGATAGTCTCTGAAACTTTCAATCCGTTCTGGGTTCAGCTATGCTCTTGAGCTCGTCTGTGTTCCCTGTGAAATATTTGTGTTCGAGGATTTGTAGCAGTGAGCCTGCGCAGATTAACGTGCGTGCAAGTATAATTCAGCCTCAGTCTGTGAACTGCTGACTTGAATACGCAGAATTTACACTTCCCATTGCTTTACGCCTATTATCATGCCTTACGGTGGTGCCCTCTGCCTGCTGCTCGGAAGTTGCGCCGAAAAATTTAAGGATCGATTAAGGTTAGAGTAACTTCCGTACGCGATTCAGTTAACACGCTTTTATGTTAACCATGTTAGCCCGGATAACACTTTGGAAAAGAAAAAGTCTTCTGTTTTACTTTCGTGATTAAGTTGTAATCCGTACACTGAAAATCATATCAACCCGGCAGAAATTCTGAGTGACGTATAACACAGAATATACAGGGTGATTCAAAAAGGACTTTACAAATTTGAAAGTGTATAGAAATTTATTAAGAAGGCTTACAGAAGCGGTTGAGGTGTCATTTTGTAGCAAAACAAATCAAGTTTTACCTCAAACAGTCATTTTTGTTCGATGTGATTGCCATTGGTGATACTGAAGACATCCCACCTGAAATCAATTTCTTGCCAAACACGATCCAGCACATCCGGCGTCACTTCTGCAACTGCGGCGGTGATTCGAGCTTTGAGCTCAGTGAGATTGGCAGGTAAGGGTGGAACATACACACGATCTTTAATGAAACCCAATAAGACAAAATCGAGAGGTGTCAAATCTGGAGAACGAGGTGGCCATGCTATCGACCCTGTTCGACGAATCCACCGACCTTGGAAACGGTTATTGAGGAAATCCCGGACTTCTGTGAGGTAGTGAGGTGGTGCGCCGTCTTGCTGGAAGTGAATGCGTCCTTTTTGGTCATCTTCGTCTAACTGTGGTATGAGAAAATGTTCGAGCATATCCAGATACACGATACCGTTGATGGTTCTCTCATGGAAAAAGAACGGGCCGTACACTTTAACTTTGCTAATGGCACAAAACACATTCACCTTTGGGCTGTCACGAACGTGTTCCACAACAGCACTAGAAACACGCGGGCGACCTGGAGATTTGTCATGGCGAACAGAACAACCAGTCTCAACAAAATTCTTGTGCCAAGAGTAAATTGTAGGTCTACTAATTTTCTGAGAATTGTCCGTGACGTCCACATCGATATAAGCGCGACAGCAGCTGCTGTTTCAGTCAGTTGGATGTACAACAACATCCGATGTTCCGTACTCATTTGAATAGCACGCAGCAAGTGACGTGTAACATCTGCTACATTTGTTGTTCTGCTCTGTGTCACCGTGTTCGTGCAGTGAACTCGATATGACGTCCCAGTTTCTGCCATAAATAAAATGTGAGCTTAGGACTGACACATTAGGAGTTTGTTTAAGAAAATATCAGTTTTAAATTTTAATAGATATATTGAATAGAAGAGATCATTTGGAAAAAAAAGGCATGCATATAATTACACGTAATTCAACAGCGTTGTTTAGTGTTTTTTAAGTCCCTTGGCCGCAGAAGGCCTGCCACGGCGGAGCACCGTCGCAACTGATGACTACACGATTGGGGAGGGGGGGATTTAGAACGACTGTGAGTGATAAATTGAGCAGGATGCGAAAATAATCGGTCTAGGATTATTGTGAGATATTATCTCAGCGTTTTGCTGGAGGACGGACGAAAAACATAAAACGTCTCAGAGTAGCTGGTCATCAGGAGGTGATCCTAAACCGGGTGACGCGAAAGCCGTATTGGTAAAGCAAAGGAGTTTTCTGAATTCGATATCAAAAGATAATAGTTTTTAGTTAAGCAGTCCGTTTGATGCCGAAGAACGTTATGTCATGAGTTAATTACTTTTGAGTGTTTAAAAAAGTAATTATGCTTTTGACTTTTCAGACGGTCTCACTAATATCGCAGGAACAAAGCAGTAACAATCTGTCAGTATAATGGCAACCGATAACATCTAATCTAATTTTCAGAACGTCGTTTACATCAAATATATCTGAGTAAACAATTCCCGACATAAGATTCATATAATGAATCGGTCAATGTCACGAACCTTGAGAGAGTCAAGGACATTTGTTGCTTAAGGATAATGACATGATGCTTATGGTAAAGTTTATTTGCTAATACGGGATTGACATAGCAATATTCGGGCCTTAACCAATTACCTAGACGTAGATGGGAGGTATTTATTTAGTGTTCTGTCTGACGACAGGCTCATATGAACAGGATCATTCCCTCCTTTTCTCGGACTGGGACCTGTTCATATACGTTCTTGGCAGATGATCCAGAAGTGGTTTTCCATTGCCTTCTTCTGTGTGTGAATGGAGTAATTGGTGGGATGCCACGGAGAAACCGGGGCAGCCCCCGGAGGAAAACTCCATGTCGCCTAGACCACGGCCTTGCCCAACACAAGTTATAAATTCGGGCACCGCCGGGAATCGAACCCGAGACCCCAGGATTACAAGGCCATCTTTCCAACCGCTAGACCACCGTGGCTATAGATGGTAGGTAGGAGTTGAAGGCGATTGGATTTGGCTGGCCTAGGACAGGGATGGTTAGTTCGGAGATGAATATTCGGGATCCCTAAGCCATCTTAGTTTACGAATTTTATAAGATGATGCTGAATACAGGAATTCTGTACTTAAATTCATACGTTATATAAATCCAGTTTTTGGAAAAGCGTGAATTATATAGGAACAAGGAACGGGGAAATTGTTCCCTGTGTGTGGCATTAGAATAGAGAATTTCGTTTAAGCATGGTCTGTGCAAGCTTTTGATGATACACAACACAATTGTTATAGAACTATTATTTGTTTCCCGTAATGAGTGAGTCTTAAGCAATTTACGGAAGAGTAAGATATGTAGGCCATCTTATGATTTTATAAAATAATTATACAAGGCATTTCTTCTTAGGTTACAGCTAGATAAATTCAAAATATGTACTTATAAATCCTTACTTAAAGTAGTTATAAGACGGGTTAAAGTGATTAAACTACACATTGTAATACTCGTGTACATAGAAACGCAGTAGGGAAGCTCTGATAGCGGATTTAAAAGATACGCCGTACTTCAAAGTTTAATTAAGCCCTTGTTCTAAAGTTTCATGTCGTGAAGACCTCATGGCGTCGCGATGATCCGCGTTGCGTGGCTTTCGTCGGATCCCTTGGCGTCTCGTGTTGTGAGTTATATGGCAGGGCGTTGCAGCATTTGGCGTGTCTATGCGTTTATCGGCCAGGCAGTTGTCGTTGAGATTCGCGACGCCTATCGTCCTGAAACGAAACGAAGAGCCAGAA